GCCGCTCGTATAATTATTAACAGCAGTTATAAGTTCCACCTAAGCCTAAAAAATTCCAATTAGAAAAACGATTACACTGGTTATATGCATATAATAAGAGAATTATTTACTCCTCATTATAGATTTACTAAAATAAAACATACTCCAAGTGTCTCCATTAGTGGAAAATTAGCATGCGTGTAACTGTATAAAGGTCCCATATTTCCCCACTAACAAGGGTCTTAGGTCGATGCAGTGTCCTATATTTAAGACCTAATAATCACAAACAGAAGGATATTCTACTCTCTAACATTCGTTAGCTAGACCAGCTCATGATCAATACCTTAACCAGAACAATGTTCTCGTATCCTTTGGCTTATAAGAAAATCTTTTGATAAATTTCACAATTCATTTATATCAACGATTTTTCTCAATTTCAACCAACAATTGTACAGTGAAAAATACATTATAAATTAATTCTTTAATTTAATATGTATGAAATATTTTAACAAGAATAAAGATGCAAATAAAAGATTACACATTCCGCGACAATCGGACATGAGAACGACATATCTTAGCGTCTTAGATGTGTTATAATTAATAATTAATTAAGTAGCCACATTCTATGCAATTAAGTCATAATTAGCTACAGACGACTAATATCAAATTAATTAACCAAATTCAACGGAGTGTATGTAAAAAACATCATAACTGTCGATATAATGTTCTCAAGTCGCAATAATGATAACACCAACACATTGTGGGACATTTGATATGATGTTTGGGTTGTGCCACAAGTGTAATTTTAAATACCATGGAAATCGCTATCTAGCGTATTTGACCAATATTTTTCTTGATACGAGTGGAAACTATCGGGCGTCATCTTAGACATGAGTTTACAATATTTCTTGAGGACATTTCCACAATATTGATATTCCGGTATTTTATAAACTGTATTGATATTTAGACTACTGATAAAAGTAAAAGGTGTCTTCTAGACAGTAACTCAAATCTATACTTATCTATACTAAGCTTATAAAAAGGTAAGATTTGTATTTTTATACGTATTGAAATAACTCAAAAACTACTAGACTGATTTGAAAAATTCTTTCACAATTAAAAGCTACGTTATCAATGAGTAACATAGGCTATATTTTTATTATTTCACGCCGACCAAGTCGCGAACAACAGTAAGTTAATATTTGATCCTATTATTGTTTTGCAGTAGATATAAAATTATCTGAATATGATGAATAAATTCGTGTAAAAAGTACGCAAACATAATTAGTTTAAAAAACGCTCATCGCGTTTACCTTGGGGTGCGCGTAGAACGGCACGGTTAGAAGTCGGCCGTCAAATCACAGCGCGCCGATACCGCCCGTCCTTCACGCTTCACCGGCGGCGGCTGGCTGCGAAACTCACCGCTTATGCACCACTATATTGATGCATTACTTCATTATTTTCTGCTATAAATTTAACAAACCAACAGCTCCCAAGAAATTAGAAAATGTTTGTTATTTTATGTTTATTTGTTTACTGACGAAATTATTTCATGTTAATTAGATCTGGATAAAATGACTTTGGTTAGTTTGTTACTATTTCGTAGATTCAAAAAGTTTGTTACAAACGCATATGTCATCTAAGCGATTAGACGCGCTACTGTAACCTGACTGACTGCTTTTTGACGCTCTGTTCCAGTGGAAATAGTACTTATATTGCTCATTTAAATATTCGCACCAGTCGAAAATGGTTCTTAAATATAAATACAGTAGAACCTCGATAACTTAAAAACCTCTATAACTTCAAAAAATAATATGTTCCCTTCCTATCAGTGCCCAATAACATAGACCCATGATAGACTTAGACCCCTATAATTTAAAATATTTTGTGTCCCTCGGTCTTTAACTTATCGAGGTTCTACTGAATAATCATTTACGTTGCATTCCATGAGTAAAATGCTATAGTATACCGGTAGTCTAGTGTCCCTCAGCCTATAAGCCTAAGCCAATTAATATCGTACGCCTCTAGAACTCTAACTACTTTATAAAGGATTACAAGCAAAGAGATAAACAGGTATAATCCAACATAAACCAGACAAGACATTAGTAAGCCGATGTCAAGTGTTTGTGTTCAATAACATCTGTTTTTACCATCGATTTAAAGAAACTTAATCAGCAAAAAGTAAGGTTTTATTTACCATCTATACTCTTATGATATTTTCTCACCACTCTCCCTCACCGGACCGTTTCCTCATTCCTGAGAGTCACGACCGCTCTCCTTGACAATATCACGAAGGTGTTTCTTCACTACAGAGAGGTAAATAAATTATACTCTCAATAAAACTAATTAAAACCGACACAAAGATTATAAAATTAAGATTATCTTGTATTTTTTGGGTAAACCAAGTGTAAAACTGTTTTAAACTGCGCACGAGCACAAAAAGACTTCCGTTGTAACAAGTAGCTGTTGTAAAAATTTAACGTGATTAAAAACATTATCCATCGACGTCAGAGTTTAACGTCTGCAATACTTGAACACATCTTAAATGTTAAAAAAATAACACATTTACACGATTGTTAATTGCTTTGAATACGAATCTACTCATTATTTTCTTTAGGTATGTTTCTATTGATATTAAAAAACTTAATAACAAAACAATAACAGATTTTTCTGAGACTGCTCTGATCTACGTTAATATTTCCTGATCATGTCCTGTTTAAACATTTTGTAGCTAGATGCGTAGTTTTTCCATAAAACTGTGATGTATTTTCACTTATAGGGTTATACTCTAATGATTGTACATATTTGAGGCAGTCGGTTAATACGTGGACTTGATACCTGCGTTTTATTTCGAACATTACAAAAACCATAAATGTGTTTTTCCTTGATCGTGAAAACATTCATAATATTATTTGAAACACTACTAAACAAACGACCACCTTCATATGGTTTTGAAATTCCCATTTAAATAGAAATTCAAATCACAAAAAGTATATCGTCTGTGACATCCCAACACAACAATTGTCTATTTGGTTGTATGTTGGGGGAAGAGAGAGGTCTTTGGCTCCCCGCGGAATGCGCGTGGGCGCTGCTCCCATGCGCCTGACTTTCCATTCATTCGAGCGGCGCTATCTTATCTCGCTCAATATGCTTATTACACCGTCTAAACGTTTCCTACTTACATTTACTAATTCAATGATCGCTTCATGAACCGAACTTGGCAATAGAGTGCTCATGTAATTTGAAATATTAGTAGGGAAAGATTTATTAGATACCGTCGCGAATACATAAATGTGTAGGGACTTTCTTGAAAAAAAAAAAAGTTTTTAATGGAATATGATTTATTAAATCATAGCATTTGCACTTACAAAAAAGTTTTCTAACCAAACCAACATTTACGTACTCAATTAAATGCTAAATTAATTTCAGTCAAAAATAATTAATTGATTACTTAATATTACAGTAGCTTGGTATTAACTTATTGTAAAGCGAGTAATTAGCATGTTTTCTGCACTAACTGTCGTGTTTCAGAATATTAATTACTGGTTATAACTAGATCTGTTATCGCCTGTCCTGTTGCTACTGCATTGTTCAGTCGTTGCGGATAATAGATGGCGCCACTCGTTGTTTTATAAAGAATTTAAAATAAATAAAAAATCCATCTTTGACACTTATAATAGATTAACAGTTGACATTTTTGTTAATACTACCTGTCGCCCGTGACTCTGTTCGCGTGGAATTAAAAAAAATCAAAAGTAGGTACCCTAAGTGTTCTTCCGAAATATCTTCTACAACTATACCAAATTTTATAGAAATCCGTTCAGCCGTTTAGGGTACAAACTGTAACAACTGTAACAATCCATCCATCTAAACTTTCGCATTTATAATGTTAATATGATTATTTTTAATTTAACTGCCTTACATAACTTCGTATACTACTATTTTTTTTTTGTAAATTACTCCATAGAAATATTTATACAAGTGCATTAAAATTGAAGCAGATTTCTGCTTGACTTCCGATTCAATAATGTTTCCATAAATTGCTGTGAGCGCGGGACATCATTTTGATTGGCAATAAAACCCCAACCGTACTGAATGAACCATATTAAAAGGCTATTAATATAATTTGCACCTTTTTTACGACTGCAAACTTAATGTCGCTAACAAGTCGTAATCCGAATTCGCGGTGTTATAACGTTTTGATTCAATTGCAACAACAAACATTTTTATCTTATTCAAGCTTTGTTTATGCAATTGTTTTAACGCTTTATTTTATTTAGTTGTTATATAAGAGGAATGAATGTAAATTTATTTATAACTGTGATCAACACGTCTTAATACTGACGATATTAATATACCTTTTGTTAAAGACAAGTATCAATTAAAAGTAAAATTAATTTAAAATATTGATCGCTCTTTGATCGATTGAATTCAATAGTATTCTATCTAGTTAACTGCGTTTTGTGTGAAACGTTTTGTAAATTAATTAACAATACATTTTTCAAAACAGTCGACACTGATTGACACTTTAACGAAGCCGTTATTTATAACATTCGAGGCAACAAATGATTGGAACTGAAACACAATTATTTGACAGATTTTTATCAGTTGAACATAGATAAGAACGTAATTTCCAACGTTCACGTCAGATAACAACTAACCGCAACATAGTTTTCCCTATGTTACGAAAATATTTTACCTAACTGATTATTTGATTATTTAGTTAAAAATGTTGATGCGTACTGTAGCTCCAGCCTCACTATTAGAATATCTAATTACCTATGTGCTTAAGCGCTTATTCTTGCAATCAAAGCAATTGGAACCTAAAAATAGTACGTCGTAGATTTACTTTCTAAATTTAATAAGCTATTTACAACAGACAGGCTTATCTCTTCTTTATTGGTATACTACGTCATAACTTACTTTAACATGTTACGTAGAATTTCCCAAACCTTATCAGATCGGTACTCGATGCGATTCAGTAAGAAATGATAAGCTGAAGAGCGTCTGCGATTGATAAAATATTATCACTTCAAAGTTAACCTGCTTCAAAAAACTAAATTTTTAGTAATCTACTGGAAACATGAAGTGTACATTGGTTTTAGTTTTGGTTCTAGGTAAATCCATTTTAACTGTGAAGTAGTGCTATTTCTATGCGATTGCAACCCAGTAGATTATAACAATCCAGTGACCAAAAATTTTTTTTATTATTTTTATAAACAAAAGAACTTTAGAAAAAACTTTTATCGTTTACTTCATCGTCAATTGCGGTTAGATGTTGAACTAAATATAAATGCGTCAAACATTTTATTTTTGTTACAGTTTTATCAAATGAACTAGAATCGTTACCAACTAATTTGATAGCAACGGATACATCAGCTCGCATTGTGAATGGTATTGAAGTCGACATAACAGAGGTGCCGTATCAAGCAATTTTACGAAGGAAAGTGATATCAGGTTGGGCTCACTTGTGTGGAGCTACTGTGATCAGTACGAAGTCATTGGTTACTGCAGCCCATTGTACAGCAAGGTAAGTGATTTTACAAATAGCCCAATTCATTAAATGCTTATCTTAATGGTTAAAGGCTAACTAACAGCTAACTAGCTAACAGTCTCAGTAATACACTAAATCAGATATACTTTCTAACATCTAAGATTCAATATGTATTTCGGAGTAAATTCTTCATATGATACTTATATGTCTTATATTTTCCAGCTATGAATTAGAACCATCATCATTGCGCGCAGTCGTAGGAACCTCATATCGCTTATCTGGAGGTAAGACATATGAGTTGTCAAAGGTCATCATCCATGAGTTATATTCCACGACGACGTTGGAAAATGATATTTCGTTGGTGATCACCACGAAGAGGATGACGTATAGTGCGAGTGTGCAAGCTGCTAGTATACCAAACGCTAATTTTATTTTGCTAGTTGGTTCAACTGCGTTAGTTTCTGGATATGGAAATATTTCGGTAAGTTTATACTGTTACCTTTTCAGCAATGATCCGTTAAATTTTTAATGTTATCTACAACATTATTTTATTCCATTACAGTCTACAGGAGCGTCTTCTTCGGTGTTACTGGCAGCGCGAGTCAAAATAGTCGAGCAAAATACCTGCGCACGCGCATACATACGTATCGCTGACATTACGCAAGGAATGTTATGTGCAAGTGCTGATAATCCGCCTAGAGACGCCTGCCAGGGGGACTCGGGAGGTCCTCTGGTCGTCAACAACACCTTAGTCGGCGTGGTGTCCTGGGGCGAAGGCTGTGCGGATATGACTTACCCTGGAGTTTACACGAGGGTATCTGAATATAATTCATGGATTAACAAATATTTGGAAAATTAAAGCTTTTAAAATTATAGTAAAGCTATTTCATTCTACGATTTATTTATATTTAATCTGTGTTATAATTGTCAGGAAATTGTACTGGGAAGAATGGAACCACAACTGACTAGCTACATATTGTTGGATGACAGGCGTTTAAAGGTGTTCAAAAGAAATAGGGTGCAATGTGTCTAAGCTCGCGTCTTTTTAGTCGGCCGTCAGCGAGCGCTGCCGCACTGATTGATTGCCTCATTTAAATCCGACGCTCGAGATTCGATTATGATTAGCCCCTATCAAATTGAAGTCATCTCTAGTGACAATATGCGGGGGTCACGTTAGGAAATATACTGTCGCAAAACACATGCCCAATGTCATATGACTATTTACATTAAACAACTCACTCAAGATTAATTAAACTCATAGAAATTAATAACAAGATTAATTTCTAATATTGAACAAATATAAGGTACCATTAGACCCAAAAAAGATAGAACAAAAGTTTATTTAATCACCATGATGTAGATATTACAAGCAATAGACAAACTAATTCTTGAACACTTTACGCAATTTCATTTCTCTACAAATCAATTGAAATTCTGGATAAAGTAAACAGCATATGAGACAAGATAAATAGATGCTGTGTCTGCTAGGTTATTGATCCAAATAATGTGACTAAATTGAACCAAATGCTGAACAGTATTAATTAATTTTGACAACCCTATTTGAATAGCGAGTCGCTCACAGGAATCGATCTCTCATTGTCGTCGCAACTCTTGTGACACTTCGCGCGCTGGCTGACGTCGCGCCTAATCATACTCCGCTTTTTCTTTGTTCTTAATCTGTGGGCGGGGAATTCAGTCAGTTATTTATATTCCAGTTCGTTGTTTATATGTGTCACAGTTTGAGAGATTTGTTAATAACGCGTTGAACATCTCGTGTTATATTTAATATATCTTCTCTGATCTATAAACAGAGTGTTTTTTTTCTAGTGCTGTCATTGAGACGTGTATAAATGTCCCCGCCAGTATATGATTCTGATGATATTTCCGTCATTTTGTACGTATAAACGATTTAAAGTATTTGAAAATAATGTTGTGATCTACATTATTTTTAACATCACAAAATATTTTGTTTGAATTTCATGTCATTTTATTCTCATTTAACATTTACAGGGACTTCATCTTGTTTATTTAACACATCGTACAAGTTTGTTTAGTAGTTTGAGAAATTAGCGTGGTAGTTGGAACTTAAATGTGGGTATTTTCTGTTACATTTTTTATTCTTCGTTCATCATATTTGTTTATTTCTCTATACTTACAAATATTGCATCCTCAATGCATTGAAGATTAATCTGATTCATTGAAGGTTTTATTGCATCAAAAGTTATTGATTCATGTTCTAGATAGAGGCCTACCTGTCAACTTCTGTGTACTTTAACATTGTGTTTGTGTACCGTTTAATCGTCGCTTACATATCAAAGTAGATTGCATGATAAATAAGTTGGTAAGTCAACGGCGTCAATGTGTCGCCAATATTCAATTCGATTAGGACGTCGAGCGTCTAAACCCACCAATAAGTATGTGTTATATAGTCCCCCGGCCTATTACCTGGCAATTTCACAGAGCAATCTACGTCGGATCGCGTCGACGGCACACAGTTGCAAGCGCGACACGGAGCAATACAGCGACACGCCGAGAGGGACGGCGCTTCGGGATTTGTTTGCACAGTGTAGCTTTCCCTGTCGCCATGGCCGTGTGTGCCGCCATCTGGCGGGTGGCAGTGCGCGAGTGTGCGTGGCGCCCCCACACCGAAGCGCCCCCGGCTCGGGGTAGCAGCACGCCTGTGTGAGTGACCCAGTCGAATAAATCTAATGTAATACACACAAACATATTGGTGGCGCGGCGTGTCATTTTTACGCTTGTGTTGCCTTGCTACTCGGGACTTTATGCGCGATGATATTATTATTCTGACGATTACGGCATCCTTTATGCTTACAATAAAATAATTAATAAGGGATGAAGTATATTGTTGCGCGGCGCAGCGGTGCGATCGGTATCGGCGCTTACCTTCATTCACTTTACAAAGGTTACGATAGAGTTCATTAGTACGTGTTTATTGTAATGGCCGTGTATTGTTTAACGGCTCCCTCTTTAGTAATTGATTTGCGTCTGTTTCCCTGTTCGAGAATAACAATAAAATTGCAAAACCCCTTTTTTTTTTTGTAATTTAAAATATCAAATAAGTTCTTTACTGTAAACATTAAATAATTTTTTTATTTAAATGTAGAAAATTTAACCGTAATTTCATAACTCATTGATCACTGTACAGTGTTAGATTAGTGGTTGCTAGTTGATCATAAAGTTTTAGTATGTATACTCTGAAGATGATTATTATTACTTAATTAACAATTTAATCATTGTATTTCTAGCATATAACAATAGTTATAATTGTCTCTAATTAAGTAACGTGTCGTAGGCAGCGAAACAAAAACTTGTTGAATTATCAGCTTAATCTGTGACGGAACAGTTGACGAGCCGCTCGACCCCCGTTCAGTTTAACAATTACGCGGCAGGCTCATTGTGATGCGACCCTACCTCTCCAGCCATTGTGGACACCACTATGCCCGACCAGCGGACCTCGACACCTCAACTCGATAACTTGCACCCCTCTCACGCCTCAACTAAACCAATATACAAGGGCAGGGAAGGTCAATTTACGCTGGGGAATAATATACAAATATTATTATCCAGCCCGTTCACAAATATCAATAACGTATTACCAACATCGGGACTGATTCAAAAAGTTAATAAAGAGATTTTAGAGGCGTTATAAGGCCATTTGGCGTTGATTAAGATGGCGACTAGCTACGAATTAAATTAACTAATCTAGTTACAAATCGATGAATTTCAAACGGAATATATTACCTGGTTTTATCATTATTTATGCTAAATTTAATTTATGTTGGCAAATAATTGCCAGCCGCCAGCTCCGCGGTGGCTCGCTGTCATAAATTAAATATTTATGTGCACTTTATTAGCTACAATGTTTGACACGATATCTACTAAACAATCTTGTTGATTCTCCTTAATTGTAAGTTTTGACCACAGATGGCGCTACTCGTTTTAAATTTTTAATCATGAATTAAATTACTAAGTTCTTGGAGCCAAATCAATAAAAACCACTAATAATAATTAACATAAAAGGTAATAGATGTTAATCAATATCAATTAAAAAGTAAACAAAATCGAGAATTATCCAACGAATGAAAACAATCATAAGTATAAAAAACAAAACCGACTTCCAAACAAAATACACGAAAAACAAAACAAAATGCACTAAAAACAAAACAAAATACACCAAAAACAAAATA